CTGGTGTGATACTATAGGATAAGCACTGGACAGCATTGTTGGTTTGAAATGCAAATTCAGGGGCACAAAATCACCATCTGCTCCTCAGAAACTCTGTACATGGTTGCTATCAGTTGGGAACGACTCAACACTTAATAACAACAACATATGTATATGTATGTATATATCCACTCACATAAGGAGCATAGTGGTTACAAGTTGGGCTGCTAACCTCAAGGTCAGTAGTTTGAAACTACCAGCAGTTCCATGGGAGAAAGATGAGGCTTTCTGCTCCCATACAGATTTACAGCCTAGGAAACACTATACAGGGTCACTATGAGTTGGAACTGACTCCATGACACACTACCACCACCACCATCATGCATATACATACATAGCCATTCTCCAGATATTTTATTGTTTTACCTATTTTGCTGTAATTATCTGCAACGAAGTCTTCCAAACCAATCATCTTCCAAAAGCTGTCATCCCAGCCTCTCTCGGCTGAGTATGTCCATTTGCATACCAGCGAGCACAGAGATCTAAGATGGGAAAAAGGCAAAACCATTAATATGATCTATATGCATCTTTTATACTTTGTCAATAACTTCCTAGATGTCCATAAGCATATTAAAGAAACAGAATGACCCAAAATAGGTTCCATTCATGTTTAGATTTAAAAGTTCCCATTTACACTTATTAAAGATTGACAGTAACTTTTTCACCTTCCAAAGAGTTCCAGCCTTCTATTTGGATCCTGATCAAATACATGTAGTATACAAACATTTATATCTCTTTCTATATTTCTATCACATCGAGAGACAATTAGAAATTATAATATCGACTAGCTATTTGATAATACTATTATGAATGTGTGTTGTTCATTATGTTGGCTACTTTATTAAAAGACTACTTATTATTTAGAAGTATGTACCAAAACACTTGTGGTGCTGTGGGTTAATGCACCAGACTGCAAAGCCATTTGGACTGCACGGTTGGTGGTTCAAGCACACCAGCTGCTCCTTGGAAACCTTATACCGGGTCACTATGGGTCAGAACCAACTCAATGGCACTTCACAACAACAACAAAACCAAAATACTTATGGACAAAATTATACAGTATGGGATGTGCTTCAAAATAACAAGGGAGAGGGAAGTGAATGGGGTTATGGATGGAGCTTGTCATGGGTTGGTGGCTGTTGGAACTAGGTAATGTGTTCATTTGGGTCCATTACTATTACTCTGG